TCGAGGTATAAGCCAGCCTTGTGTTTGAGCAGCAAGCCTTGCAACAAGGAAGCGAAATGACTATAAGCATTCTTTTTTGTATTTTGCTGAGATTAGCACTTGGCTTAACTGTTGCTTGTTTCCATAGTGACTCCATAGTAACTGTTTTAAGAGCTCTGAAGTTTATTCAGGCGTTTCCAGACTGACTTTTTATGAAAGTTTTCTTTTCTTCTGAGCTAATAGCGTGGCTGTCATTGACTCCCATTGGAATGGTTGCCAAATTGGTCCCATGTGGTACAATCTGGACTGGTGTGGTGCAAGCTATGCCAGCTGCACATTTTTAACGTGCCCTGGGCAAGCAACCCCCTGAGGGAGGATTGAGCGGCCTCTTGCTCTTCTTCATGGGGCTGTGCCGAAACTTTTTCTTTTTAAACATCAACAACATTGTTCGCTTGATCTGGGAATCACATTTCCAAAACTGTTTATTTCAGGTGTTCAGATTTCCAGATTAACTTCTAGGCATTCAACCTACAGATGTTTGGAAGTTTATTGATTTCACAACTTAATTTTTTTGCATTTATTTGTTATGCTTCAAACAAAATGCTGATTATAATAGCACTCCGTGGTAGGAGTCGTCTTTCTCTTAAGCCAATGTGCTCTTTTCTGTCTGCTGTCTCCATCTCTTCTCAATAGTGTCTATCCTTGGAGTGGATTTTCCAGTCAATCCCCTCAGGTGTTCTGCCTTATTTTGCACCCTGATGTTGCCTGTGCCCTAAGAGGGCCATATGCAGGATGAATGCAGGAGAAAGCTGTTCTGAGTTTTGGTGAACTTGTGGGAATATAATGCGGAAGCAAAGCTGCTGCTGTTGAGAGGGGAAACGTTCTAAGGGTTGGTCTTGGAAGTGTAAGGTATAACAAAGAAGTATTTCTTCTGATGTGGATTACAGGATCACCCGTAGCCTGGTCCACTGTCTCCTTGTTAACCTCAGTGCCAAGCTCAGCAAACAGTGTTGCCGCTACCTCTAATACCTCAACAAAGATAGATGTGTGTCTCCAGCATCAAAATGCTCATTAATGGGATACCTCTTTCTGGAGGTAACTGGTGCGTGTTTAGCTTAGGTACTCATAGATGTTTATCTGAATTTCCCCATTGTAGCTGTGAGCTCCTTTTCTCTGCAGGCCTTTAACTGCAAGACTGTGGGAAGTGGATGGGATACATGAGCACCAGCCTCTTCAGGATTCTCCATTTGCCTTGAGACAGGGTCTGGAGGGAGAGCTGCAGGAGAAGGAAGTAGGGAGAGGGGTATGATAGCTTTGAAGTCTTGTTGGCCCTTGCAAAGGGGGAAGGGAGGGTTTGTGACTAACTTTTTTGGGTCCAGCTCTAACAAAGGGAAAAAAACCAATATTGCCTCAAGTCTCCAGGCTGCAGGCGGTTGGAACTGCTCCGTTCACTTGGTCATGGATTGTTTCCCCTGTGCTGGCCAGAATACCTTCAAAATGGCTGTAACATATTTGGGTATTGGGCCCTTAGTGCATTCAACTGCTGTCTGAATGGAAATGAGATAATGACTTTTCTTTCCTTGCACAACAGCCAGCCTGAAGCTAGGATGCACCAGGGTTGACCGAACAAGTTACGCAGTGATTCTGACATGTCAAGTATTTAACAGAGCTTGCTGCCAGTTTAGTAACGTTTAGATCTTTTGAGACCCTTTTCCAGTGGCATCCGTTAGAGAAAGAAAGAAAAGAGAGAATGAAAAATAAATCTACTGTATTACAGACACAATGAGCTCTGGATCAAAGTGGGATGGAGCTTGAAAGGTGATGTTTTCAATTTTGCTGGCCAGAGGGGTTGTGACTCGGATGGCATGGGTAAACAATGAGGAAAGAGACAGTCCCTCTGGGAGTCAGTGTCTGACTTAATGAGCCAGCAGTTATTAAAAGATGAATACAGGAGAAGTGAACCATGCGTTCTGGCTGGAAGCGTGGCTTTTTTCTTCTTTCTTTTCTCCCTTTCTCTTGAAGATCAAAGGCCTAATTTTAGCACAAGCCTTATTTATGGACTGTTCAGCCACTCTGTCTGCTTTGCTCTTGTTCTAGAATAGTGGAAAATAAATAGAGCTGGCGGGATCTCCCAGCATCCAGAGCTCATCCCTGATGCAAGGCAAGAGGAAAAAAAAACCTCAACCTTTCCCAGCAGAGTTTCTGTATAATTTGTCTCTGCAGAGTCAGTTCCCGTCCCTTCCCTCAGCTCTTTCAGCCTTTCCTCGTGATCAGAGACTGAAAACACGTAACCTGTGACCGCTCCTGATGCTCAGAAAAGAGCTATCTCCTCCTGATGCATGCCTTCTTGGCGTGCTGTGGCTGCCAGGACTGGGCAGAGTCCTCTTCCTGAGACTGGTGCCCGGTACAGAATCGAGTGTTGTTTTGTGTGTCTGTGGCTTATGCTCTTGTTCATACAGCCCAGCATGACGATCGATCATACTTTTCTTACAATAGCACGAGATCCTTGGGTCCACTTTAGGTTATGAGATCCCTTTCTGCTAGTTGGCTGCTTGTGCCCCGCTCTGTTTCAGTGTAGGTAATTTTCTACTTCTGCTAAGTAGTTGTTTCCTCCCTTTATTTGGCACTGCCCCTCCAATTTTCATCTCCCTCTTCTCCCCCAGCCCTGAGGCTGCTTTTCTGATTTATCAAAATAATTTCTCATTGTAATCTTGTTCTGCAAAATGTCAGGTGGCAATTGTCTGCCAATGCAGTAAGTGCTCAGTTCCAGACGAAATACTGAACAGTATCTGGGGGGAAATGCACCAAATGTAGGTGTAGTTTGAGGACAAGCCTCTGATTACCCCATGGGAATGCACTTTTGTTTTTCCTCCAGCTTTTTGTTTTTCCTGCTCCCCCC